GACTGGTAGCTCGGCGGGGATATGCCCATCAAATGAGGGTGACAACTCCCGTAGGTGAAGGTAAGTTGTACCTCGCGTAAGCCCTATCCTGTCGTAGGGACGCACGAGAGGTATGGTTGGCGCACTTGGACGGAGTGGCTAACGGAAGTTCCATTTGTACCGCGATAAAATGATGAACGTCTTGCCACTAATCCTGCGTTTTGTAGCCTGGAGGGTCCCCTTGCGGGAATGATGCGCTCGACACCGTACAGTGCCATCCTTGACTCCATAGCAGCAGTAATGGCAATATCACTCAGGGTAGTTGAGCAAGCTGGAAGACAAAATATATATAATCCGCATCCCCGAAGTAGATCACCTCGTCTCAGCAGACGAAGGAAAGATTAGGGTCGCTGGTCGGATGTCAAAGTTCAACGTCGTTTTTCAATTAGGAAGAGTGCGTATTCTCRGTGAGGCAAATRTACTGAATGTGACGTCATACGAAGTGCTCATTGGCCGACCCGCTCTCAACGTGCTTCAAGCAAGTCTGGATTTCAAACGACGAATGGTGGTCCTAAAGAATACGAGAGGAAAGTCGTATAACGTCCCCATGCGCCTCACCCTGCGACTCTTCGAGTGCTTTCCAACAATCTTCGCAGTATTCCCACCGGATTAATAGGAGGAATCTGAGTGATCCTTCTGGAAGAAGTAGCAGTCTAATCCGAGTAGAGCAGTGAAGAAGATAGTGAGATTCCCGCCTCGCCTTCTACTGATTCCGATAGTGACCTTGAGGGGAAAGAAACGGTGCACGAATTAATGAATAAAACTTGGCGATACTTGGTCCATTAGAAAACAGTTAAGACCTTCAAGAATACAACCAGTGCTCGCATAAAACGGGCTCACCGTGCACACACAATGCTTCTTGGGGAACCACTGGTGGAACTATCCGGATGACAGACTCTTGGGAACCTGCTTGAACCCTATACGAGACAACTACCCCACTGATCCCGCGCTGCTTGGACAAACGATCTTTCTGCGACATCACGGTACTACCTCCCCGACCTCTGCTCATAATAGGAAAGGAAGTTCGCCTGTTGCATAGGGGCACCGAGATCCACACTTTGGAACCCCCTGAACAACTCGACGCCTCCCTCTTCGAAAACGGGATAAAAATTGCGAAGAAATCAGTAGACCCCCGAGACGTAGAAGACAAAAGAACCCCTGAAGGACAAATGGCCATCCGCGAGGAGGATGCCCAGATGGTCAACAAAGTGTTCTCATGGCGATCGGACTACTCCTTTATTTCGTCTCCCCTGTCCYAAGACACAAAGACAAATCACACCAAGCAGGTAGAGGCCACCATTCGCAGGCGACCCTACGAGCTGCATGTTCCCGAATATGTGTGAGGTAAGTTTGATATGCGTCACGAGTTCCCTCACATCTTGGTAAAGGAAGAAGATCGGCCAAAGACAACGTTTGTGTTATTTGAAGGCACGTGGCAATGGATCCGATGCCCTATGGGGATACAACAAAAAAAATTCCCAGAGTTAAATAATCATTCTAGAGCAAAATTACATTCTAAATTTCAAATTTTCATTCCATCTTAAAAAATGTCATTCCAATTTTAAAATTTTCCGTCTTACTTGAAAACTTTCCTTCCAAGAATGGGGTATCCCTTCTTATTTGAACGGCATGCTAGAGATGGAATGAAAGTCAGGATGAGTTAATGAAATATTTTAATTGGACTGCCATTCTAAGTAAGGATTTCCAGTCATAAATAGGTTAATCCAATCTAAATTAGACGATATTTGTTGTAGTAGAATGAAAGTCTAATTAAAATATTTCATAAACTCGTCCAGACTTTCATTCCATCTTGAACAAATAGATGTAGTTGGAAGGGAAAACTCATAATTAGACGGGAACTTATCAAATTAAATTGAAAATTTTAGAATTGGATAAACATTGAAATGGTAATTTATGAATATGAAGGATTTTGTTTTATGGAATGTTTTTTCAACTTTCATTTCTAATGAGAATTTTTCTGTTGTATGTAACGCACCAGCCACTTTCAGAAAGCAATCAATGTCACCTTCCAAAATTTTGTGAACAAGACCCGCCCGACGCAAGGAATGATCAACTTTTGCATCATTGTATACATGGACGACATACTGGTGTATTCAGAGTTGTTTCATGGGCACACGCAACATATCGGATTGACATTGGGAGCATTGTGGGGAAGGTAATAACTGTGTAGCACACCGAACTTGTTCGGAGAGTTTTGGTGCTCTTTCACGTTTGGAGAGTTTTGACGCTCGTTCGTGTTCGGTCTCGAACGTTCGGGTTCGGTCACAGAACCCGAACACGATGCTACACAAGGTAATAATGAGACTTCACTGTCCCCTGCTTCTTCCTCCTTTCTTTCCATTCCCGACCTATTTTGTTTTTTTTTTTAGGCCATATCGAGGGTCAAGTCTGTCTCAATGTGACCACATGCGCTATGAATCCACTGCGGTCGCAATCGCCGCGGGCACGACCGCAGACCGCGATCTCGGCCGCGAGGCCGCGGTCATGACCTCGGTCCGCAGTCATGAAAAAAAAAAGAATTCAGAAAACTCCGAAAACAATATATGTTATGCCCGTGTGTCCATTCAACTACTAACGGGATTTTTTCAACTCCGTTGTACCCGTTGAACGGGCACAAGGCCCGAGTTGAAACCCCGTTGAACGATTCAACGGCCGGTTCCCGTTGAACGGGGTTCAGCGGACCGCGCGCAATAGCAGCCGGGCACGCGTGCTCGGCGACGTGAACCGAAATAACAGGGGTTTGTCGTCGACCCCGCCCGTTGTATCCCCGTTGAACTTGTTGAACGGGAGTTGAATCCCCGTTGAATGGATTCAACTCCGTTGAATACCCGTCGAACGGCTTCGCCGTTTAGTGGGAAACCGAACAACACGGGCCGCGCCCGCGGCTGCGGGCACGTCGCCGTGCACGGCGGGGGCGCTGGAGGTCCCTCGGAAGAAACAAAACTAAGTTAAACACACCCGCCCAAACCACCCAGCCCCCACCCAATCTCAATTTTATTTTTTAATTTTTTCCTGATGTTTTGTGGTTATTTTTTTATTGTGTAATGACCCGCCAAAACACAGACTGAGAACACTGCTGATTTACGGGATTTGCCGCTGGAATGAATGCCTTGCTGAAATTCCCGCATTCTGCTGTGATTTTCATGTGTGTGTGTGTGTGTGCGTGCCTGCTGGTTTGCATGACTGTCTTAGTGCTTGTCAGTTGCGTGTGCGTGACCCGCAAGAGTACTTGTTGTTTGCAAGGCCCCGCAGGGCCGGTACTTACCTGTGGCTGTGACTGTGAAGGTTGCAGGGGGGTAGACACTCATGTAGCGGGGGTAGGCCCGCGACACTTAGAGCAGGGGGAAAACACTCGAGTAGCAGGTTGGCCGGTACCACTCGAGTAGTGGTACGAGTGTTGGGTACTGAAGGCCAAGTAGAAGAAGACAAAAAGTTGGCATTTTTAGAGGCCTTGTAGCGGTAGGTTAGAGGTAGGCCGGTACCAGTCCAAGTAGCCCGGCTCTAGGGCCTGTCCGGAGGATAGCAGAGCCTGCAATGATGTTTTCCTCCGAAAGGTAGGAGGTACCGGTTGCTGGGAGGCCGCTAGGCCTAGGAAGTCACCGCCCAGGAAGCCGGTAGGCCGCTATATTTCCAGGAAGAGCAAAGAGCTCTTCCTCATTTGCGGTGTGCAAGGATTGGCGACATGCTGCTGGAGCACAGCGCTGGAGGTACATCGCTGCTTGGAGGGAGAAGGGACCGCTGGAGCTCAGCCTGGCTATGGCGAGCAGTCCAGCTTGAGGAGGAGGAAGAAGGGGCATGGTAGGAGAGTGGCGAGGCACTTACCTGGCTATGGTGGACACCRTCTTCATCACCTTGTTGGGCGCTGCATCCGGAAGGCCCCAGTTGGGGTAGCGCTGCACCAAGGAAGCTCGAGGCAGAGTCAGGCATGGCGGACCAGTCAGCATCGGCATAGCTGCTCTTGGGTTGTCCTTTGGACATTGGCAGGCTGAGCACCATAGTTGCTTTGGGTTGTCTTTTGTACAGGAGGGCAGGACCCTCATCAGTCCGCCATATCCTATGCATGAGAGGGAAGGCTGAAGGAGGGAAGCCATAGCTATGGTGGGCTTGTTGTTGTTGTTGTTGTTGTTGTGGAGTTGAGTCAGCAGTAAGAGGGAACTTCGGATATTGATTCTAATTCATCCATTCATTGTTATTATTATTATTGAGAGAATAATAAGATTGGTGAAGTGAAGGAGGAGGAGGAGGTTGGAGAGAGAAGGGGGGAATTGTCATTGCCACTCATTGGTCTTGCTGGTGTACTTCTTCTTCTTCTTCTTCTTCTTCCCCTCTCTTCTCTGGTCTTTATCTCTTTGCAAGTACTTTCATTTCTTTCGCAATTGGGTGGCATTGTCTTTCATTGTGAATTGCACTTGGGAAATGACCAGGATCGTAACAATTGAATGATTGAGTGATTGTTGGGGGAGGGCTGCCCAGACACAAACACAAACTCTCCCCCCTCCCCCACACACACACAAGAATAACCGCATAGAAGAACATGAAACTACAATGAAAACAAAGTAGTAATAAAATGTCATACAAAAGTCATGCCGAAATGCCGGCGAAGTCGCATATAGGAGTCCAATATGAAATACATGTCGCATGGTACAATGTGTCGTCGACACTCGTGCGGCGTTGTACGGGGCCATACAGCGATGGGATGCAGCCTACACCGCTAACTAACAAAGCTGAAAACAAAACCCTAACAAACATCTACGTAATACGACAAGTCAGAATGAAGTCCTACCTCTAACAAAAACCCAATAAGTGGCAATAACTAAAAAACAATATGAAAACGCCGTACATAAACCGAAAAGCGAAACAAACAAACACTCTCGACGATACTACCTGCATGTTGAAGTCCATGAATTGGTCCGAAGTCCCTAAAACCTAACTATATGTACGTCATCCTAAACAATATACAAAAACGTCAGAACACTGAGCACAAACAACATAAAGGCGTCATGGAAGGGGAAATAAACTGTCAATACCGTCGACATCCCTTCCCCTTACCACTGCCTCTCTGCCTCGCCCCACTCGTGTTGCGTGTCGATGAAAGCCCCAGCGCTGTCGCAACGGATGACCCTTGCCTCCTCCGACTCCTCGTCTCCCGCCGCCCTAGAGGGAACGGGTCGTCGACGTCATTGTGTCGTCTACGAGAGCCACGTCGTCTACAAGAACCATGTCGCGGTGGAGGGGAGGGCTCGTCGTCGTCGTCGTGGTAGCTGTCATCATCCCCGCTGTTGCTTTCCTCCTCCTCACGCTCCTCATCGTCCCTGTACTCGTCACCCTCCTGTGCGGCCTCCTCACATGCAGGCTCCATCTCGGGATTGTCCTCCACCACGGTCACAGGGTCAGCCCCCGTCCTCACCCGAACAAGCCTAGCACTCACCTGAGTCACCTCTACGACTGTCTTCTCACGACAAGAACCGCGCGGCATCCCCAACCCCTCGGCTCCAGAAGACTCCTCCAATGCGGCACCCCCCGTGGCAGGCATGGGATGCGGACGAGCTACTCCGCTCCTGCGCGAAGTCTGGTCACGCACAGCACGTGCTGCTGCTGCCAAAGCGGGCTGCAAGGTACGACCGGCCTGTCCAACCCCACAAACATCTCGCGGCTGAGATACGGCCGCCATGACCTCCCTCGGCGCACCCCTCCCGGTGTCTGCCCAACCCAAACCTGGCTGCTGTCGTATAGTGTGCACTGTGACCCGACGCACGGACTCCATGTCGATATCCGTCCTCCCGAATAGTGACGTGTCAAGAGGGAGGCTCCCTACGACCGTCGTGTCACGAACCCTGGGTCTGGTGGGCGTGGATGGTGAACGGGGGGGGCGACCGACTGGTGTCGAGGGGGAATCACTGTGACGTAATCTTGGAGGAGGAGGCGACATAAGTGGTTTGCTAGGGTCGGTGTCCTCCTGCCGTGTCACGTCACACACAGCAACCCGTGCGAGCTCCGCGAAATCCAATGGGCGAGTTGTATCCTGAGGAGCTCGCCGCCCAGTAACCGGTGTATGAAGCGTTGGCCCAGATCCTAAATCCACGACTATGAGCGGTGGTACCTGAACAAATGCCATCTCCCCAGGATCTGACCCCTGCACACACGGTCGAACTGGCCGCATTGTCGTCGTCATCTGCATGCCCGTGAATGGTACCAATGAACCGCTACCTCCGGGGATATCTGCATTGGGTGCATCCTCACTCTCCGCCTGTGGCTGCTCTACTACCTCCTCGCACCCCTGCTGAAGCGTGTCTGTCTCTCTCCCGGAGCATCCTGCAAATGCCTGCTCGATCTCCTCTGTGGAGTGCCCAGCGGCCGCTAGGGCACGCGCCACATCCTCTCTGTCTGCGTGACTAGCGCTGGGAGGATCCCCCACAGACATGTCCATTAAATCCCCCATCCCCAACCCTGACGCCCCCCTCTGTCCTGATGGCGACGCCCAGTGCCCTCCTTGTGCCCGGGGTCAAACCCACTAGTGCGGGACCTATCTCGTCATCGACGAAACGCTGGACGATCGGGTCAAGGTCGTCGCCTCCCTCTCCTCTACCATGGGGGACGTCCCCCCCTACCACACCCTCCTCTCCCCCAACGAACGCAGCAGCATCTGCCCTCACCACATCCTCCTCCATCTCAACCTGGGCATCACCATCATCTACCCCTGCCACGCCCTCCTCTCTCTCGACCTGCGTCCTCGCCACGTCGTGCTCCCTCTCAACCTCCGATGGCAGCACACCCTCCACTCCCTCAACCTGCTCACCATCATCAACCCTCGCCATGGCCTCCTCTCTCTCGACGTGCGCACCATCATCTACCTCCACCACGCCCCCCACTGCTCCAGCTACCTCGTCCTCCATACCCCGAATACCCTCAACTCCGCCCGCTCCGGCGGCTCCGTGCTCCTCCGCTCGTCTCTCCCTCTCCTCCACCGGTGGTGCCCCGCTATGAACACCCATCTCCCCCAAGTCGCTCGATGCACGAGGGTCCAAAACAAGCTGATGGCCTACGCTAAACAATGATCCATGCCCGCGGATGCGCAACGAGGATCCCAAGTCCTCCATCCCAACTAGTGCAGGTGAGCGCTCGTCATGTCGAACGGGAGCGGTCGGAGCGGATGCTGGGATAGAATGACGCGAAAGAGGCGACTGCGACGAGGGTGCGGACTGCGTCGCGGGAATACTCGTCTGCTCTTGCGTGGTCGTGGGAGCAGGCGTCTGCTCCTGCGCGGTCGGCGAAACAGTCGTCCGCTCCCACGCTGTCGTGGTAGGACCCGGCTCCTCACTCGCAGTCATGGGGGCAGGCGTCTCCTCCCGCAAGGTCGTGCGAGGATGTGTATCCTCCCGCTCGGTAGTGGGTGATCTCTCCTTCGTGCCCCGAAAGATCCCCAAAGCTCCTCGCCCCCCATCATATCCATGTCTCGCTGCTCTGCCACCCTCCGCGCGGTGTGCGTCCTCTCGTCACGCACGTTGCCCTTCTAGTGCAACTCATCAATCTCACGTGGGATGGGAAGCATGGGGTCGTCCGCTGCTTCCGACTCCCTTTCGTCCGCAGAGTCATCGTCCCTGGGGTATGGGCAGAAGATAGTCGCACGAGCACTGAAAACAGACTCAACAGGGGGCGGCGCAGAAGACCCAATGGGATCGCGCGCAATGAGGGCAGCCTGCTCCTCGATCTCCTCCTCCATCACCCCACTCCTTGTCCCCGAGCGCACAGGCTCCACGTCTCATCTCGCCTGACCGTCAAGCATGCCCTCGTCTCGCTGCCAAGGGAGGACGTATCCACGACCTGCACCTCTATACTCCATCAACCGCACATTTGCGGTGATCTCAACAAGATGAATGAACTTCTCAAAGGCCAATTGATTACGCTTCTTCGTATGGATGCCCTCGTGGACCGCCCAGTTCCTCTCCACTGGAGAGGCGCAGGACCACATGTGCATCAAACGAAGAGCGCAATGCTGTAAATCAGGCTCGTATCCCCCGTACTGAGACCACCACGACGCACACTCCAACGTCTCACAGTCTCCGCTGCAACTACGCGCTCGAGCGCGACCCTCTGCCCCACCTCATGTCCCATACCTACCCTGCTGCATGTGAAAGTCCTCGAACTGCCGACATACCTCAAGGTAATGACCACCCGACTCGTCGTGGCCCGTCTGAGACAACAGATACCTCTTGGCTTGTCGAACAAGCCAAGTGTGGTACCGGTCGAGCTGCCCGGAGAAGTACTGAACGTCCTGGGGACGGGGGTTCAGTAAGAACGCGGCGCAGTGTGCGGGCTCCATCATGTGCTGTGTACGGGCCTGCACACGCCTCATGGGGACATGAACTGCCCGCCACGGTCTATCCGCCCCAGCAAGTCCATGACAGGATCCATGACGTGCTTGATGGCATGCATCCTCTCCCACCAAGGGGACCACCTGATCTGTCGGTGCACCCAACGCGCCATGTCGCGAATGTCATGGGACCACGGGATCCTAGCCCAAGCCCGACCGTCCTCCCCTGTCATCATGCCCTGCAAACGATCCTGCAGAGCAAGCAGCCTCTCCAACATGGAGTACACGAACGCAAACTGCGTCTCGCATGAAAGCACGAGCCCCGACGCCTCACTGCGCTTCCGAAAGAAGCTGAGAGCGGTCTGGTGGGTTTTAAAAAACACCACCAGAACTCGGGCACGCGTGATCGTGTCCACGAAAGAGGTGCAGATCGTGCCAATGTCTGAAAACAACTTGTTGCAGACATGGACGCAGCACGGGAGCCAAGTAATCCTCCTCAGCTCAGGGGGCATAGATGGCGAGGCCAAAGCCCTCGCAGCCCCCACGTATGCAGACGCGGAGTCAGTGCATATAGTATTGACCCACTGTGGGCCACCGAATCTGAAACCGTTGAAGATGGTGACCCAATTCTGCAGGACGTGCACCGCATCGTCCGGCTCCCCCTCTCGGTTGATCATCGTGTACATGACGACCCCTCGAGACCCAGCTGCGAGGAAGTTCACGATCGGTCGCCCGTCTCGTGACTTCCTCCCGTCAGAGAGGAGGGTGGTGCCACTCACCCATATTGGCTGCCTAACCTCCTCCTACTCCTCCGCCAACTCCTCGCGGTGGATCTCCACAGCTCGCATGCTTGCGATCTCGCTGTGGGATGGAAGCACGGGAAGAGGTGCTCCACCAGGTTGCCGAAGAGCAACCTGCTGGAGGTCCCGGTACGGCGTGTTGTGGAAGGCATTGAAGGCAATCCCGCTGAAATGCACCCAGTGAAAGAATGCCTTCCTCCACTGACCAATCCACTCGCCACCATAAGTGTCCGTCATTTTCTGTTGCCGCAGCCTCTTCCCTGCATTGGTGGCAGAAACATATGCACCCCCCTCCTTCCTCTTCGAAGAACCCGGCGTGCATGCTCTATCAGGAACAGCACTCTTCGAAGAACTCGGCGTGCATGTCATCTTGGGCGGGACGGGCTTCTTCTCGCACTTCCGCTCCCAGTCCACTGCCCTGTGACGAGCCATCGGATCGGACTTCGGCACGCCCCCGTCTCCCCTCGGTGTCCGCTCTCCCTCAGCCACGCCAACCTCTAGGTCAACGTCTGCCTCGTCCTCCTCCCCAGCACCCGCACCCTCCCCATATCTCGCAACACCTCCCTCCGCATAACGCTCAGTATCCTCTCCCTCGCCCACGCCCTGTGCAGAACGCTCTGCCTCGCCACTCATCGCACCAGACCGCGGGACATCGAGACCACACTCGTGTGCAAACTGTCGCACCCTCTCTACCTGTTCGGCCTCGAAGCGGAGTGTGTATTACTGCGTAATCTGGTACAATGCATCATCAGACACCTTCTTGCAATAATTTTGTTGGGTGAAGTGTTTCATTGCGTAGAATTGGGTTCCCTGAAACACCTTATTGCAGAAGGTGCACCGTAGCATATTAACCCCCCTGTTGTCGACCTTTTGGCCGACAACAATGTAACGGTACACAACAGATTTGCGCCTATAATCCTGCTGCACATGTTCGGGCGCGAGCTCATGTTCGCGCGTCTGTTTTCACGGCATTGTGAACCCCCCTCAAAGCCGCGCCCGTCTGGTCGTAAGCGCCTCCCCTCCGAGTCCGACACCTCGTGCCCAGCGGCGCCACAAACAAGGCCGTATCCCCGGCCTGCCCTGTCCCAAGCAGGTAACACCCGCCTTGTTTCTCCCACTTTCAAGCCTGTGCTCGATGTCGTCGCACCAAACCCG